CCCACAAGCTCATGTTGTCATGTTTGTTTCTGACATGCCCAACCCACCATTTGCCATTGGTCATATGCCCTTGTGGGATCAGGGGGCATTCATAAGGGATGGTCTACACGGTCTGCTGCTTTATAAGATAGATGAGCATACATCTACCGCACAACCTGGGCCAACTGGAAAGGGCGGGTATCTGTCGCTCTCGTGGAGCCCCCAAGGCAAGGATGACCATCCTGCGGAAGTCACTGGCCCCCTCGCTGTGCTCCGTATCGATACCTATCTCTGCAGCACAAGGTTCTCACAGGACAGAGTGATCCTGGGACTCTTGAAGTGGCGAGACCTTCAGCGAGAGGAGGTTCCAGGTGTGCTTAGGCAACTCATTTTTGTGCCTGAAATCGAGGTAGTCAAGCTGCTCAACGATGTGCTTGATGGTCTATTCGGAATCCTCGTGGAGTACTCTGGAAGTCATGAATTCGAGGATCTTGTCTTCACTGCTTTGGTCAGAGTATTAGGCATTGTACATGATCGAAGATTCAACCTAGGTCCATTGGTCGATCAGTATGCCGAGAACCAGTTCAATTACCCCTTTGCGACGCCATGTCTAATGCGATCCTTTACACGACTCCTCCAGAACCCAACAGAGCCCGAGACCGCCCGAAAGCTGCGTGCTACTTTCAAGGTTGTCAGGCACATCCTTAAATTCATCACACATGCTAGAACCCAGCAGAAGGAGAAAGAAGCTGGCATTGGTATCACATCCAACACCACCGGTTTTACACGCGAGCTCCGCGCCATCTTTAAGGCTCTTGACGCGATGATGCGCAACTCTGCCCCTGCACTTGTTGGAACCCAGACTCTCGCCGTTCAGCATTTTCACACATGGCTACCAGAGCTTGCTGGGTTGCTGACCACAGAGGAAATATTGCATATCGCCATTGACTTCATGGACTCGTGCACAGACGTCAAGGGCAAACTCGTTCTGTATAAGCTTGTACTGATTATCAATTATGGCAAGCTGGACTTGTTTGCCCACACTGACCAAAAGTTAGCCCTCAGCACCAATACGGTTCGATGGATCACTCCTCATTGGGGTCATTCTGAAGAGGTGACAGACCAATGGAGAGATCAGATCCGTTTATGCTGTTCTATCCTGGCGAGCCAGATCGACTATCTCGGCTCAGAAATTCCGGATCATATTCCTAAAATAATCGATTCTTACCTGGCGATTCTTGCTGCTCCCCGCAAGCCGAAAGACCGCCTTTCTCTTCTTTTTCCATCGTCTTACCCTTTCCCTACTAAACCTGTTAATGAAGACCTTCAGTTCGATGAAGCCTTGGTCGAGCTTTCTGCTACTTTGTCCGCAATATCTAATTCACCCTCAGGCATGCAACTGGAGCTTGCTGAGGACGACTTGACTACGCTATTAGAGAATCTTCTTAGAGTCCACATGAGCATACTGAAGGGAGAAGCATATCCCCTGGGCTGGTTGAGTGTACACATCCATCATCACAAATCGACTATGCGGACACTTGAGTATCTCGCTGGTACAATGTTGGAAGCGTTCCTTCCCGACCCAGAGGAAGCAGAGAGCTTCAATACTGAGCTATGGAAGCTCTTCTTTACAACACTCCTTGAACTCGTGGGCAGTACGTCTCTCGCGTTAGAGACGTTCCCTGAGCAGAAGCGAAGAGCGGTGTGGAAGATTGCGGGGGATGTTCGAGAACATGGCGCTGAGCTCCTTCGTCGCACTTGGGAGGCGATCGGATGGGAGACTACTCCTGATGAACGAAGCCGATACAATCTCTCAAAAATGGGAGGATATCAAGTTCAATATGTTCCAGCACTCGTTGGCCCCATTGTCGAGTTGTGCCTCAGTGTGCATGAAGGTCTCCGAAGAATGGCTGTCGAAGTGCTACAGACTATGATTGTCAGCGAATGGACCTTGAGTGAGGATCTATCGATCATTCAGACAGAGACAATCGATCGATTGGACCTGTTCTTCAAGGAGAAGCCTTTGACCGAGAGCATCCTCCAGAAACTGTTTATACCCGAGCTCCTTGAACGTTTTGAGCCTCTGGCTGAAATTCCCGACGAACCATTGTACACAGCTCTACGTGAGTTCGTCGGAACTATAGATGAATTCCTCGACCTCCTGGTTGCAGTTCACAGTAGTGAGGATCCTGGCGAAGCAACACATCTCATTAATTGTTTACGGCTCATGGAATTCCTTCGCGATATGCAAAAGGAGGAGATTTTTGTTCGCTATGTGCACCAGCTTGCAGACCTGCAAGCCGAATCACGGAACCACACAGAAGCTGGTTTGGCCCTACGACTACATGCTGATCTGTACGAGTGGGATCCGGCTAGCCAGACCTCTGCTCTTCCTGACCCGGAATTTCCGGCACAGACTCAGTTTGAGCGGAAAGAGAGACTCTACTTCGACATGATCAAACACTTTGAAGAGGGAGAGTCATGGAGCCATGCTTTGGCAGCATATAAAGAACTACAAACACAGTACGAAAACAACATCTTCGATTTCTCCAAGCTCGCCAGGACTGAACGAGCGATCGCAACGATATATGAGACTATCTCCAAAAGCGACAAACTGGTTCCTAAATACTTCAAGGTTGTCTACAAGGGACTTGGATTCCACGCCAACCTCAGAGACAAGGAGTATATATACGAGGGATCTCCAAGCGAACGCGCCTCTGCTTTTACAGACCGCATGCAAGAGCAGTATCCAGCTGCTCAGATTGTCACTGGGGGCGATGTTGATGATGTTGAAGGCCAGTTCCTGGTTATCTCAGCTGTCACTCCTCATCGCGACCTCAGCCATCAGGTCTTCCAGCGCGCACGAGTGCCGCAAGTAATTCGGGATTTTCTTCTATCATCTCATCCTCAGACTTTTTCCATCTCCACACGACGCAATACAGGTGGCCCTGTTAAGGAGCACTCTGCCGAGAAACTGGTTTTCACAACTGCCGATGCTTTCCCTACTATACTTCGTCGCAGCGAAGTTGTTGACACGCAGGAAATTAGACTCAGTGCCCATGAGACAGCCTTGGAGCGGATTGTCCGTAAAACCCAGGAAATGACTGCCCTTGAGCATCGAGCTGCTGATGGTAATGGGGACCATGCCCAGCTTCTTCTCGATGCAGTGAGCGTTTCTGTCAACCCAACTTCCGAAAGCAGTGTAGCCTGTTACCATCAACTGCTGCCAGAACCCAAGGAAGTTAACGAAGATGCTGAAGAGGATGAGGACCAGGAAGCATCAGAGGCAGAGCTGACACCCCAAGACAGCGCTATCAAGATGGCACTTGTCGACCATGCTATCATGATTAAGAGGTGCCTTGCCATGTTCGCCCGAAGTCCCAATGAACTTCTCAACAGTAGACATGAGGAGCTTCATAGGTGTAAGTTGAATTTTAACCACATGTTGTTTCAGACTACTGATTCCTTATAGTCTTCGAGAGTACCTTCGCATCGGAAATCGCACACTTTACGCCTCCTCAGCCGCAACGCGAAATGGCTGCAACGCCTTCTCCAACTTGGAGACGATCATCTCGTTCTTCTGAAGCCAGCCCCAAGCATAAGAATATTGGGGTTTCGGTAAACGGTGTTACCACAGAAGAAGCTTCAGTCATCAGGCCCGTCTCAAAACGAGGTACACGACTCAGTTTCCTTGGTGGCAGCAAGAAGAAGGAACCCGAGTTGCCAGCTGAGCCTGAGGAGCCCGCTGTTGATATTGAAACAGCGAGCAACCTCAGCCGCTCCTTAAGCCGAAGTCAAAGCAAAGAGCACAACCGCCGGCATAGCTTTTTCCGCACTCAATCTCATGACGAGAAGCATCCCGAGTCTCCAGGAGGGTTTAGCAGCCGAGGGAGTTTCGACCAGCAATTTGGTGGCGGCAACGAAAAGGCTATTGAGAACAAGATCCCTAGCAAGAAGGGCAGTGTCCGCAAGAGATTCAGCATGCTTAAGCTTGGTCGCAAGGGCAGCAAAGGCAATGGTATGATGGGAAGTCTGGATGAGGAGTAGGACTACTTCCGGGCTTATTTTGGCCGCTACAACGTAGGGTTCGATGATAAGGCGTCCCGGCACTGAGAGGACGAAGACTCTCCGAACACCGATATGAGACGGTGGAAACATGAACGGACCGACCTATACAGGTTCCTCTTATACCCTTCCTTTGTTTTTCTGATTCTTATATGAATGTTGTCTTCAACCGAAAAGGGGGTTAGAGAGAAAGAAGATGTGTAATCAAAACTAGAGCACCCAAGGTTGGATCATCTTGAGGACGGAGATGATGTGTGAACTGGGGAGAAAGGATGGATATACAATGTGCTGATACCTCGCTGCTCTCCTGACGACAAGCAGAGACAGGCTCTTTTCTTTTTTATATTTTGTTTTCTTCTGGCTTGTTATTTCTCATTGATGTTGCCTGTTTCACCACAAAAAGACCTCTTCGCATTCATTTGTTTCTTAACTTTTTCACAAACTATTTCCGTCATGTAAGCTTGGTGTTATGGAGACCTAGGATATTAGTTATGCCTAGTTATGGCAGGCCATAGGGAGCTGCGTGTGTGCTTGTAGCACACTTGTACAATTTACGTCAAGAGCCTCTGCGGCATCGAGACTTGATAATTCATTCTGCTGCGTCCTGTGTGGACAGCCCGGGCCCCTGGCTTCGACTGCCTTATGTATAGAAATTTTGTGTTGATAGAATGGTATCTGCATGACGGGGACTCGTGCGGGGCACAATGATCAATGTACTATGGGTTTCTTTGTTACAATACCGGGACATACATATCAGTTGCTCCCGCCAATCCTGTTATGGAGCCCAGTTTGTCTGCCATAGACGGTGTTAAGTTTCCCAGACTACAGCTATCACCTTCCCTGGTTTCCCAGAATATCTCTGGCCCCTTGCCATGTAGTAAACAGTCATGGGTTCGTCCCATGGTGTGCTGTCACCCGTTAACCATCAAGCATAATCCTCATTTGAAGAAGGGTAGTCAATTTTCTTCCGAGGACTCCAACGCATACAAATGCGAAATAAGTGTTCGACACCCATTGTCTTGGTAAGCTCGTCGCTGCTCCTCCGAACCCCAAGCTACCAAGATCTTTTGCTTTCGAACAACGGTAGAATTCTTGATGGCATCTCGTTGTCCGACCTGTCTCATATACAAAGCTGGTGCCACGTCACACACATTGTGCAGTTGTGGTACAAGTCTTGCTCGGAAGGTGGAGGATCAAGCTTCTGCAGGTTGAACCTCTTCCTATTCTGCAGGACGTTCTTGCAGTCAAGCCTCATGAGTAAATCAATGAACCTGGACGTTGTGTTGAGCTCTCCATCAACACCGGCAATGGAGGGGCTTATGTCTAGATAGAAGTGGTTGGTTGAGACTTGCAGTTTTTCGTATAATTTAATGGCGGGATACACAGCAAGGTCGATAAGGTCTTGGTAGCAACTGTGAGGATCCTCCCCCTTGGAGAAAACCTCGAGGATGTTGGAAAGCTCTACGATCATCTCATCAGCTCGTTTTTCCCGAACTTGTCTAAACTGGGGACAACTGAGAAGGCTGTTGTATGCTTCAGCAGTCCACGTTCTCACGGTGAAATGGTCTATGTACAATGGCTCGTATTAGCGGTCTTGGACTTTACGCAGGCAGGTCTCCATGGCTGTTTGTACATACCTCTCTTGGGCTCAACTGAGGCTCTCATGCGGTTTTCGATAAACCGATAGTCTGTACGCTACGTGGCATGGCACCGTAGAGAACAGACTGAAAGATCCTGGCATGAAGATATCTCATTATCAAGGATGTAACGATGTCCTCGTCGGTCTCGGGGAAATTCAGGCCATTCATAAGATCGGGGTATTTGTTTAGAGCACTCTTGAATCTGTTGGCATCGGTTATGCGCCTCTTTACGTGGTTTAAGAAAGCATGAGCACCGTCTTCACAGTCCTCCAACCAGGGGTTCATGAGCTTCTGGACCCAGTCCTGAATTTTTTCAACAAGAGCATCGTAATCCTAAATTCAAAATTAGCAACTGTACACAGAGGCGTGTGGTTACTGGAAAACAGATCTCGTACCTGCCCGACCTCTTCGGGTGTCAGATCTTTGCGGTAGGGCTGGAGACTGAATATGTGGGACTGCGCATCGTTGAGTTGTTCTTTGAGTACATGGTTCTCCTCGGCCAGCTCTTTAGCCTTGCTCGACAGCGTCTTACAGTGCTCAACAACTGTCATGTGGTAGCTCAATCTCTCCTTCATGCTCTTGACTTTCTCTGAAAGCCTGTCTGCCTTTTCCTCAGCAATCTGTTTGTTCTCATTGAGTTCGGATAGCCTTTGGAGGAGATCTTCAATAAGACGATGAAGTTGAGGGTTTTCCTCTTGAATGTTGTTAGTGTGGTGAGTGGAAAGGTCGATATTCAAATCAACGAGTGAACCAAGTGAGCCAACCTCCTCAGTCGTAGGTGATTGTTCAGTTTTTCGCAGAGACTGTGGCTGAGCCTCGCCAGAATTGCTGAGGAAATTGGCGACTTCTCCCAGAATGATCGAATTCCATTAGAACATGTTGAGCCGTGCCCTTTCGAGTTTCAATATCCCGCTCATAGTACTCATGAGTCTTGACTATAGGCTCGATAGGGCTTTCATCCTCCCAGCTGCCGGGCATGATTCCAGGTGACATATTCTGAAGTTCCTTCTCTGGTGAAGGTGGCATGAGTCTCCATTCTCTCTTGGTGTGGTTTTGCGGAGTGGAAACTTCAGGGCTAGGCTTAACCCAAGCAAAACACGCAATTATTTCCTGCTCCAGTGTTTGTTTTGAGCCTCCACGTTTCGGTGAAATCCTCTTTAGGCATCCAAAGGGGAGAGCCAAGCTCAGTCACGAATAAGCCAGATTGAGGGGCGGCAGGCTGAATGTGTGCTACCTTATTACGGCAAGCAAACGTGCTGGTCCGAGAATGTAGTGTAACAATGACCAAGAGAGCAAGTCTGGAAAGGCGAGGCGCTGTAGTTCTCGGATGCGTGCACGGAAGTCTGCTTGCCTCCAGTAGATACAACAGCAGCTGGACCTCTACGATGGATGCTTACAGCCAGGCTGACAAACAGCCTACAGGACGATTGATAAGGGTGTCGGCATCAAAATTAACTGGCCTTGGTTGATTGCTCAACTAAGGCATTTTACAACTTGTTTCCATTTTCCTTATTTATAGATTAACGGTAGAGTTGCCTGAAATCTTATCCACATAGAATTCTCCCCTCAGCATATCATATCTCCTTAGTGATAGCTTCAAGCACTTTATGGATCCAAAGCGAGTCGGGTTGGTGTATTGTCGATGCTCGTCACTGACAGATTTCACTCGACATTTTAAACTTCTATGTAGTAAACACGGTAAGAGTTACGAGACTATCGGTTTCGACCTTTTGATTTTTTGAAGAGACATGGAACATTTCAACAAGACTCAAATCATGCCCGTTTGGTGATCGGATGTAAAACCAACCCCCACAGAGTGGTCGGCGAAACCCCTGTTATGCCCCCTTAGGGAGCAGGAAAGTTTGTAACCTTAAACCGGGGTGTCAAAATTAACTGGTCTAAAGGCCTGCTAAGACATACTAAACTTGCCTAAGTCTTTTCGTCCCTTAGAATGGAGGTCCTAGGTTTTCTTGCCTCCCCTGTTATACCCCTGCCAAGTGTGGCACACCAAACGGATTCAAACTCAGCCGCATCTGCATCTGATGGAACTAATACGCTAGTGGCCGCTCTGTATTAACGTCCATGCACGTCTGCCTCTTACCGTCCAGTATCATTCAGGTCAACGTAGCGTTCTAGGCATATTCCACTTCTAGTAGGCCACCGAAACTGAGTTTGTGGCCAATTGTTCATTATGAGGATAGTTCAAGTAACCCCTTGCGAAGTTCAACAGCCCACTCACTCAACCTACAAATAACTGCTTCTTATCACTCAAGCTAACTACGGTAGTCCGGTAAATATATATTGTGACCCAAAGTCTTCCAATAGGAATTGGTTCAGAGAGAAAAGATACCTTTGTCGAAGTACCATAGTAGACAGCAAAATCACCTTTCTCATGGGACCTACTAAATTGGCATTCTGTGTGACACCGCCCCCTGAGGAACAAGCGCTCCTCTCTATTGCTTTTCTTCTTCCTTCACACTTACATTTAGGAAACATTCACACCTCTTTTCCCCATCCATTTGTCACACTTGTGGCACAGGTACCAGTCGAAGCGTATCGCTCAACCTCGAGCTGCAAAACTCATCTCATATTTCTTTTTCTCTTCATACCACCTCGCCGTAGATACCTTTCTTCAATGGAAGTGGATAAACCCAAAATAGCCGATCGCAAGATCATCGTCGGTATCGATTTTGGGACCACATACTCTGGAGTCGCTTGGGCTGAGAATCGCAACCCATCACGACGAACCTGTATCACGCAATGGCCTGTATCAAGTGCCAACAAGGAAGGGCAATCTAGCGATAAAGTCCCAACAAGGATTCGATACAACGGGGACAAGATCGAATGGGGCTTCTCTATCCCCGCGAATGCACCTCAGCATGAAGTTGTTGAGTGGTTCAAGCTGTGAGTGTCTTTCAGACCTATGTATACATAAGCAGCTGGATGACTCATACCTTGAAAGAGACCTAGACCCTTCCATACAGGCTGCTGACCAGAGTCCAAGCACTGAGGGTGCACGAAGCGGCCGAAACGTCGACGAACTTGTTACCGACTTCATTTCGCAGCTTGTCGAGCATCTGCTATACACCCTACGTGAGAAGCTCGGCAATGGCCTTGTCAACAGCACTCCGTTGGAATTTGTCATCACTGTACCTGCCATTTGGAGCGACTTAGCGAAAGAAAAGACTAAGAAGGCATGCGAACAAGCTATGATTTCCGTGTCCGAGCACCATGTCCATCTGGTTTCCGAACCCGAAGCAGCTGCCATTTATACCCTTCATGACTCCGACCCGAACGGCATCTCCGCTGGAGACACCATAGTTGTGGTTGATGCAGGTGGTGGTACCGTCGATCTAATCTCGTACACAATCTTGAGCACGAAGCCTATTTTGGAGGTCCAGGAGGTGGCTCCTGGCTCGGGCGCACTTTGCGGCTCCACGTTTCTCAACATGCGCTTCGCAAAGTTTCTCCAGAGCAAACTGGGCAAGGAAGAGGGGTTCGATGAAGAGGTCTTGGCTGAGGCCCTGGATGTATTTGAGAACAAGGTCAAGCGCCAGTTTGCCTTGAATGTTGGACCTTACGAGACTTACAACATCCCTGTGGCAGGCTTGGCAAACAATAAGTCGATAGGCATCAGTCGTGGTCGCTTCGCCTTGAAGGCATCGGACGTCAAGAAAATATTCGAGCCTGTGGTGCTTGAGGTCATCAGATTGGTAGAGGACCAGATCACAGCTAGTAACGTGTCTGTTCAAGCCATTCTCCTGGTCGGCGGCTTTGGGTCCTCAAACTACCTCAAGGAGCGACTTCGAATTGCCATAGATAGCTCTGTGCGAATCGTGCAGCCCCCCAACGCATGGCAGGCTATTGTACAGGGAGCAGTGCTCAAAGGACTTGCTCAATCCTCCCCGGACTCCGCCGTGGTGAAAGTGGAAAATCGCAAGGCCCGAAAACACTATGGCACTGAATGGAGCGTTCGGTGGGATGAAAAATCTCACGGGAATCTCAAGAGCGAAAGATATTGGTGTGGGCTCGACGGCTGCTACAAAGTCCGAGTCATGGAGTGGTTTATTACTAGAGTAGGTTGACAGACACCATTTCACCCAGCAAACCCGACCAAACTGACATCACGTTAGGGCTCGACGGTATCTGAGAACGACCCATATCTCACCTCATTCGTATGGACTAATCCTGTCAGTAAAGGACGTATTCGAAAGGTTAAGATGACTATATACAATGACCATTTGTCTCGAGTTGCTCCAGTGTCCCGCGACGACAATGTCAAGATGCTCTCAATCGTCGAAGCGAACGTTGGTCATATTCCGGAGAACCAGCTACGTCGTAGAGAGGGCCGCGATGGCGAATGGTACTACGAGCTGAACTGTAAGATCGAGGCTGTATATACCTCCGCATCCACTAGTTATACTCTGATCTACAAAAGTAAGTTTCGCAGAGGCAATTTTGTCATGCTTATGCTAATTATTCTGACAGACCAGCGCTTTAGTACTGTGACATGTGAATATGTCTAATTTCATATGCATGCTCACATCAACTCTGAATATCTGGGAGTTTCAAGCGTTAACCAAGGCAGTGATATCCATCTTTGGACGAAACTGGGGTGGCTTTGATACAGATTGTTGGACAAAATTTACGATGCTAGTCTAGTTTGCATCATTAAGAAAGAGCCATTATCAGTTGGTAGCACAATTTTCTTCTCGTCGTTGTGCTTGTTCGATATACCTATTCCTTACCCAGTTGATCTGCCAGTACCGCCCCAGGGGGTGGGTGCATCGACTCGATTAGAGACGACTTGGAGGCGGGGGGCGGACCACCTGGGGCCCATGTTACAACCTTAATCGGGCACGCACATGGGGCGGGAACTAAGGGTCTAAGGATGGATGTGCCGAATTCGTGGTTGTGAATGGCTTCCATTGCCCTCCTATTCAGTCCAGCAGGGCACCTTCAGCTTTAACCACCTTCATGTTTCTTGGGCCGCTTTGTGCGGTGGGCTTTGGGTACATGATAAAGATGGCCAGTAACTGCAGAATTAGCTTTGAAGACAACTTCTTTCTTTCTTTCTTTGATGGTAGCCCTAAGATATTTCCCCTTGAACTTAATGTTAGCAAAGGACACCTAATCCCCCACTGCCTTGAAATTGTGTCCACGACAATAAAAATTGCAAACCATCATCAAACATCATACTTGCCTTACCCCATTCAACATTACCTACTAACCTAGGCAGGGCTGTGAAACCTCCGCTTATTCCTGGACGGGAGATCGGGTGCCTGCTTCCTTTGTGGAATGCTATGCTTCATGGGGAACAAAGACTCCAAGGTAGTACCAAAAAAGAAGAGAGTCAAGGCAACGACTTCGACTTCAACTTCAACCATGACTAACCAGACATCTACCCCGAGAACCAAAAATGACACTGGCACTGACACTGGCACTGACACTGGTACTGGTACTAGCATTGCCGCTGCCACTCAACTCAAGAACAGAGCGGCTGTAAAAATTCCCCGGCCTTCCCCGATTCGAGTTACGAATTCATCCTCAAATTCTCGCCCTTCTAATGCCCCTCAAAAACACAACCCTAAGCAACGACCTCATATTCAACAGCCTCGCCAACAGTCCAAAGTCACACGCACCAACAACATGGTCCCCAAAAATGCCAGCTTCTATGGGCGCGTGAACCCAGCCATCATGGGTGGTGTTGGAGACGATGAGGGTGCTACTGCGGTGCAAAATCGAAGGAGCAAATCTCAAGGGTCATCATCAAGGAATACGGCTCAGTCTCAAGCGTACGATACAACTCCTGCACCTTCAACACAAGCCCCTTTTCGCTATAAACGTCCTTCTTTTCTCGATGATTTTGACTTTACTGCAGAATCCCGTCGCGATATAGTTGTCGCTCGTGGGGCTACTTCTGCTTCGTTGCCTCGACAAGGTTATCATCCTACCCCAGCGTCTATCCTAAACTTTACAGACTTCGACCTCGAGAACACAGATACTAAGATTTCCGATACCAGACATGACAAAAGTTCACTTCATAAACGACCCGAAACTAGCACCGCCGCCGCTTCATCTTCATCTTCATCTTCGTCCTCCGCTAGCCCGTACGTTGATCTGCTCGAGTCACTAGACAGTGACGCTGTGACAACAAGGGCAATAGACAGCCGAGAGTGTCTTGCCTGTATGGACAATAAAGCTACGGATTCTTTTCCAGATTTCGTCACTTCAAAATGCACGCACACCCCTTCTGTATGCTTGGATTGCATGGAGCAATCAATCGAAGAAGACATGAAGAGTAAACGCTGGACCGAAATCAGATGCCCCGACTGCCGAGAAAACCTAGAATATAACGACATTCAACGCCTTGCCAATGAACAGACATTTGTCAAGTATGAACGCGGTACTCAAACAGATAGAATATGACTAACAACATATAGGATAACAACAGCAGCGATCCGGGCTGCTGTTGAAGAAGATGAGAACTTCTTCTGGTGTCCCGCTGATTGTGGCTCCGGACAGATTCACGGGTCTGGATCCGCTCAACCCATTGTTGTCTGCATTAAATGTAGTCGTCGCTCATGTTTTCACCACGGAGTCGACTGGCATGAAAATCTGTCTTGCGAGGAGTATGATAAGCTTCAAGAAGATCCGAGTTTCCGTGGCCACTTGGAACTGGAGAATGAAAAGTGGTCGAAAGCTAAAGCAGCTCAAGAAAAGGCAGATCGGGCCCTCGCTCGCAGGTGCGTGGCCAGAGACAAAGCTGAAATTAAGCGCCAAGAGGATCAGGATCGGAGAGAGAGAGCGCAAGAGAGGGAGCGAGCTCTTCGTGAGAAAATAAAGGCTCAGAAGGCAGCCGAAGAAAGGCGCCAGATGGCAGCCAGAAAGAAAATAGAAGAGGCGAGGAGCAAGGCCACAGTGGAAGCCACAACAAAGCCATGTGGAGGATGCGGATGGGCTATCGAGAAGAATGCCGGTTGGTAAGCATCAAATCTTCATGTTCTGCTATGACAGCCACAGTACTAACTAACACTCGGTAGTTCACATATGACGTGTAAGTTCCTTGACACCTTTACTATTTTCGAATTCTCAGCACATACAAGCCTGCCATAATGCTGCCTTTCCATCGCCGGTACTGTGGTTTCGCATAGGACTTACACGCTGGCCACGTTATATGGACACTAATTATATCAGGTCGGAGATGCTATTACGAATTCTGTTGGTGCTGTGGCCAGCCGTGGTCCTCATTACACAGCAGGCAGTGTATTGACTACCGTTCAAACTGATTAAATCGAGTAGTGCCAATGGGTCTGCACCAAGCCTATCATCATAATGAGATCTGACAGTTCAAGGGGGCAACGCAAGAGGATCCACAGGCACTACTCAAGTTACTCAGTTTATACGGTAGGCCACAAAGCTTTCAGCTGGCTACAGGCAAAACACCCTATTCAGTGCTGACTCTTGTGTATTGCAGGTTTAAAATGTCGGCATCAATTCTGCTGGGAATGTGGCGCCGACCATCGGGCTATCATGAGAGGCGATAACAGCATGCATAAGGAGACATGCCGTCTTCATCCTCGCAACCAGAGGAGGAGTTGATGGATTGGACTAGGCTTCGGGAAGATGGTTGGCATGGAGATGTTTGGTGGATGGGGAGGAAACAATGACATCCCCCGCGACATGTACAAAGTTGTGTTCTTTGAGTTTTGTGTATGTAAAACCCAAAGCCAACTCGGTTATCCACACTGAGATTCGACGGGTGGTTGATTATCTCACTATATCACAAACAGGCAGGATACCATCAAGTGGTCGGCGATGAAGCTGTTTCAACTATTGTCTGTAAGCCTGTAATGCACTACTGTATCAAGAAAATTCTTTACCCCAATGTTTAAGCACCTTCAGCAAAATACAGCTACATCGATCACAATATTCATCCATGGGTATTCGATAATATGTCCACCAAAACCTTCGGTCAGGTCGTGCCGTCTAAGCAGCCGTCAACTCGGCGATGCGGCGCTCCAGTTCGGGGACCTGGCGCAATCGAACCTCAAGTTCCTCCTTCTCATCCTCAAGCTTGAGACGTCGATCGGCATCAAGCTTGGTAAAAACATAGTTACCCTGGCCATCGAACTGAAGGATGTGAGAGTGATACTTCCACAAACTTCGACGGTGACTGACAGTCATGAGAGTGACGCCCAGAGCCTTTGCTGTATCATACATGGCCTTCTCTGTCTCGAGGGTAACGCTGCTGGTACACTCGTCAAGAATAGCGTACTTGGGGCGGTGGTAGAAGAGCCGAGCCATGGCAACACGCTGCTGGAGACCACCAGAAAGAACATCGCGCCACTCAGCCTCAGCATCCCAGCCTTCTTCGTATAATTCGGGTAGGTGCTCAAGACCAAGGATCTTGAGATACTCGAGAAGGTCTACGTCCGTGACACCACGAGCACGCATCTGGCGAAGAGAATCCGGGTAGATAATTTGTTGGCGAAGAGAGCCTCGGGAAAGGTAAGGCCGTTGGGGGATGTAGAAAATGGCGTGGAAAGGGGGCTTGTAGACTGTGCCTCCATACACGGGCCAGAGACCGCCGAGAATGCGGAAAAGAGACGATTTGCCGCAGCCGTTGGGTCCAACAACAAGCAGGTGGTCTCCATGTTTGAGAGTGAAAGACAAAGCTTTGATGAGTACGTCACCGTTAGGTGAGATAATTGGACTAGTAGAACGAATGTGTTAGCGTAATAACATGGGACAGTAACCTTTAACTTACACATCGATAAAAGTAATGTCGTTACTCTCGTGAACAGTTCCACGTCCCTTGAGAACAGCCTCGTTACCTTCGACGCCCGAAGAGGACACGAGCTTCTTCTCGAAGTGACCAGCCTGGACATCATCCATCACATCCAATAGAGTAGCAACACGTGATGTGTAGCCCGCCAGTTCCATAACCTCTCTGTATGAGAACATGATACGACCAAATGCGTCGGAGGCAGAGAGAAGCATTCGTCTGTTGGTGACAAAGGCTTCTGTTCGATCGCCCATGTTCATTGCAATATGGCCAGGCATCTTGATAAAGACAGGAACACTGCAGAGCATCAGACCAAGTGCGCCCCAGAAATATTTGATAACAAAGTCCTCCATGAATCCGTGGTAAAAGCGCCGACGGAGGATATAGTTGACGTGCTTGATAAGAGTAAAGTAGCCCTTGTCTAATGTGTCCTTTTCAGCGTTGTGGCCGCCGTATAAAGCGACTTCTTCGCTATAATCGATGAGGCGTGAGTGCTGGAAGCGGAATTCACCCTCCAACCGTGCTTCATCTGCAACATATTTTCCAAATGGTGGAGTTAGTGCTCTCATCACGTTGGCTGATAACTGGACAAGGAGTGACATGAAGACAACGCCTTCACCGCCAACGCTCTTCGATAAAGACCAGGTATATATAGTCTAAAAGTAGTCAGCGATGTTTATCCTAAGTGCAAGCGGCTCAAATTACCATATCAAGCAGAGGTTTGGCTAAATTGCTGTATAGTTCAGCCAGACTATTGGAGAACTTTGATACATCGACCGCAATCAGTTGATCTGGATTCTTTATTCGGTCATCTAAAGCCGAGATACCGTAGAAAGTTAGATTAGATAAGTATTTGTCATGTATATGCTGTGTAAGTCTTGATCGGTATTTAAGCGACAGTTCGGCTTGGTGATACGATAGCTAAAGCAGTCGTGAGCAGAGTAAAGAATCTCAAGTTATAGTCAGACTCACCATGGAGTTGGTAAAGGTCGCAGGGACCGCAATGAGCATCCACCATACTATGCGCTTCAAGAATTCCTTTCCGTTTCCTTTGACGAGAGCCTTCACAATAGCACCATCCATCTCGGCGACACGCAGACTAATCAAAGTCCTGAGAACCAAGAAGAAGCTGTGGCTCATCAATAACCTCGATTCTTTGCTGCGCCATCCTGGAACAACAATCTTGAGTAGCCTTAGTAGTGACCGAAAGAACTCGCGATTCAGTTCGACTTTCTTTCGTGGTGTTTCCTCGCTTCTACTGGATGTGGTACCGCGACGGGCGGCGCGCTGGGCAGCTTCACGGGTGGATGCTGCCTTTTGCTCAGAGATGGCGAGGCGAATTCGATTAGCAAGAGCAGCGAATAGCGTTATCCAGACAGCGCGTGAGATACGTGTGCGATTAGAGACATAGAGGGTGGTGAGTTGTGAGGCGATACCCCGGAGAGTGCGATCGCCCGGCAAGGCGAGCTTCGACTGCGATGCCATAACGCGCGCGCAGGGTCAGAGACTGTATAGATTAAGTTTCCAATGGTACAATACTATCCAGAGATCTCTGGCGATGACTCTGTAGTCACTTGAAGTCGAAAGCTCGTCGAAATTGGAGTTGAGCCGAGGCGTATCGACGTCACGTCACAGATCTATCGAAAGCAGCTAAGCGCATGAGGAAATCGGAAGTCGAATGGTATCCAAATAAATAAAAAGCACTGGTTCAAACAAATGTCTTAGAATTCGAAGCCCAGAGAAAAAGAGAAAGGATTAAAGTGTTGAAGGGAGTAAGATTCCTGCGCGACATGACGAAGGACGTCTTGTGAGCTCCAAGATATCGATGGCAGTTTCCCCATACAGAAGCTTCCTCGGTCGATGAATCTGGGGCAGGTGTAAGCCTCCCCACACTTTCCTATTGCGCTCGGCATGTGATTGACATTTGACTCAACAGCCACAAGTCGAGCACAGCCACATTTATAGATCTGTGCCACTTTCCGCGGGGATGACTGAATTTTTGGTCGCATTCACGGGGCAATTTTTCTGAGCCCTTTCGGATAAATTCAACATCAACGAAGAATACCTTTCTTATTCCTACCATATTAGCCATCAACTTGCAGCCAAAATGTCCGATGACGAGGGTATTTCTATCTATGACGAGGTCGAGATCGAAGATATGACTTTTGACGAGGCTATGGGAGTTTACCAGTTCCCATGTCCTTGTGGCGACAAGTTTCAGATCACACTCGAGGATTTGCTGGACGAGCAGGATATTGCCGTGTGCCCTAGTTGCAGTCTCATGATCCGGGTCATTTTTGATTTGGTATGTTTTGTGACAAAATTTTGCTCGTGGTTTTCAGTTAACAATTTTAGGATGACCTACCAAAGCCTCCCACTTCAGGCAACTCGGGCGGCCAGGTTCCTATAGCCGCTTGAGTCAAGCGAGAATGACGATAGAATCATACAAATTGCGACTACCCATGCGAATAGATCCGGCACGGCAGCCACCGTTCCGCCGTGAGCACGACACCTTTAAGGAGCTTGAAGCTGCTCTGTCCAACCCAACACCGGTAAATCGGCCACAAATTCCGGAATCCTTGGACATTTCATTTTCGCAACGTCCTCAACTCAACGCGAACGGAAATCCCTGCTTGTGTAGGATAAGAGAGGCTCCAGGGTACGTTGAAGCCCGGCTGATGCTGGTTCACGGTACTCTATGTCGTCGCCACGATCAGCTAATTTACAAGGGCGACAGGCAGGGAGGAATTGAGGCCCCAGTCAAGAAAGATAAGAGCACAGTACAAAACGGCATGTCGGAAATAAATTTCCCGCCCAGCTTTTACTCCGTTGAATCAGGGTTCTTGCCAAGCTTTCAGAGATAAGCAGGAGCCATGAGGCTCAAGTGAGCTGGGTGATAAAACAAAAACATGATATTTCACGAGAAACAATATCAAATGGTGGTATGCGATTAGTATTATATAGCTGGAGGTGGCTTCGCTCCATTGGTCTATCTATTCTAGTCAGGACAAAACGTTCCCAATCTATCTCCATCGAAAGTTAAACGCGCACCAGCACGGTTCCTCCAGGGCTATGCATCAGAGTACATCATGCCCTCATAACCACCAAACCCTGTACAATTCCGAATGTCGAAATTTACAGGGCAAGGGCAACAGCGAGAGCACCAGCAAGGCCGCTGAGGCCAAGGGCAGCAGCGCCGTTGGCGGGGGTGGAACCGGAGCCGGAGCCGGAGCCGGAGCCAGAGCCAGAGCCAGAGCCAGAGCCGGGCTTAGTACCGTTGGTGGCTGTTGAAGTTGAAGTTAGTTGAGCTGTCGTGAACAGAGAGGATCGTGAGAAAGGGTTGGAACTAACGGGCACCGGGAGTAGGGACGGGAGTAGCAACAGGGGCCACAGGGGTCTGGGCAGCAGCCGCAACAGCGACGAAAGCGAGGACGGCAGCGGAGGCGTGCATTTTGATGGTGGTTTTAGGTTGTTTGGTTGTTGGTAGAAGAGTTCGAAGAGAATTAGATCGGGTTTAAACGAGTGTTGGTGTAGCGATTGTAGTTGTAGTAGTTGTTGAGTGGATGCTGAGAATGAGAAAATGTCTGGATGAGTAGAGGAGCTTCGACTCCTATATACCTGAGAGCCTCGCAAGGATTGAGAGGAAAGTCAGTCAGTGCTGTACAGTACATGATACATGATACCAGCCCCAGGGGGCGGTTGCATCATCCCAACCCCAAGCCACCCACTTCTTTTGGTGTCTTCGAGTTCCACCGTTGTACTATGCATGACTCCACCGCCAGGATTTTTCGATATCACCCAATACCAGATGCCAGGGCCTCAACGAGGAAGTTGATCCGGTGCGTCAGTTACAGAGCTGAGAGGGCCCACACTGACTGTTGTCTTCTCTGTCTGAAAATCAAGGCAGAGAGTCAACGCAATCTACAGTGTCAGTTGAGGTTGGCAGTGAAAGAAGGTCTCTCTGTTGAGTCATGCTAAACTACACTGGCTGACTGCAGTACGTACATCAATCAGGCTTGACGCGGCTGTATAGTCAGTAATTCAATAATCGACAAAAAAATAGACAGACCCAGCCTCACACCAACCGTTCTGCTGATGCTGATGCTGATGCTTATGCACTACGGTATATTGTTGCTAGATCAACCAACCAAGATCTGATACTATCTACCGCCATATGCAGGACGACAAGATATTGACTTGATGGATGCACACCACGGGAAAGACAGCCAACCAGGCATAACCATACTGCAGAACGTTCAGGTTCAGCCATGCCAGCCTCTAGAGATTCATGGAAACAGGAACAGGCCTCAAGATGATCAGCCATGCAGTTCCATAAACTTACACAGTTTCACTGGGCAACAAGAGACTTGCGTCATAAACACAACCAAGTTTTGATTCTGTGTATACTGCACTGTATCTAAACTTTTGAAGATCAGGGAACATTCATGAATGGTCGTGGTTGGGTGCGGGTGAGTTTGTTTGGGAATGGTGGAGGTGGATTGCGCAAGCTTTCCACACCAAGGCGAAAAAGAAGAAGAAGAAAAACTGCTCGATTCTGGTAGAGAATGTTTCTAAAAACAACCACAAGATAACTGGAGACCCTGTACAACAACACCAACCAACCACTCACTGTTGATACTGTAGAAAGCATGGACGGAATAATACCTATTATGCACATACAAGGAATCTGCGCGAATAGCGGCTGCTGATGTTCCCTATTTCCCCCCTCTCCCGCAGTTGCAGATGAGACCCCCATATCCCTGTGCCTGTCTGTGCCTGTCTGTGCCTGTGCCCTGAAATCTTGCGGCTGGACCAAGTGCTGGGATTGTATTTTGCGGCTCGGACTAATAATCTGTAGATCTGTGTTGGATTTTTTTAATTGTGGTTCTGACGCGCAAGCAGAATCAAACAGCTCAGACCAGGCTGCGGCCATAACCGCAACCACAAAACCACCAGTCAAGGGGAAAAGGAGAGGGAGAGGGAATAAACAGGAATGATCGTCCAGCCACTTTTACTCTATTATCGTTCCCTTACCGCGCATTGCATTAAAACGAAACAGCGCGGACATTCCGACAAGCTCCATCATGATCGATTGCCTTGAACTTTGTCGGTCACTTAGACCAGAGAACCCCCTGCAAAACAGCGAATATGAATGGCCCCGTGCTTGTTATAGTGGTTCCATAGAAAATCAAGCTCCCTCCCCTGCCGGCTTCTTGCTAGCTTGCCCCCGGCAGTCTGGCCTGCCTGGCTCCCGTCCTCTACCGCTTCCATCGCCTGCATCGCTACCACGCCGCGCACGACGCGCAATTGATGGGACCCATCAGTGAATGTATCCATAATTCCGTATCTTAATCTGAATCAACGGTTGGAGGAGAATGCCCAGGTATAGTGATGATGACTAGGTCCCTTGAATTTGAACATCCCCTCCAATCTTTGTCTCCTTTAACCGACCCAGAAAACTCCATATTTTTGCATGATCAAGCTTTCGGGGCCCCTTTTGTTTATTATTACTGCTTGTTGCCCCGGAACGTCTCTCGACAGCATCTATTTGTTATATAATCCCAGGGGGTTGTTACAGACCAACTGGAGATGCAGACGGAAATATTCAATATCAAATTAATGATTGCCCCCTGCCCTGTTCATGTAGCGCTCGGAGAAAAAAGCCAAAGGTAGAAGCTCGGTCAGACTGTCTGTGTCGACATGAGTACATAAATTTACATATTAAATGTCGTTGAAACGAACCATGCAATACACCAAGCCCTTCTCTCGCCTCGTTGATGCTATTGACTACCCCTGTCTCACTTGGCTCACCCTTGTAAGCTCAACCATGTTCTGTCAAGTTCTGGAATACTGCTTTGCAACTTGGCAATAAGTAACGGAATTATCACAATCAACCGCATTACTATTATCGTCTCTCGTCACTATCACTGCCACTTTGTCGGCTTACTGTATAGTGGCAAAGCACTACGTGTTGTCAGCGCAAGCGTATGCGCGCACCGAGTCCTACGGACAAGAATAGCCTACCGAATAATCCGGATTACTGGATCGAGTACGGAGTATCGAGTATCGGCGAGGCGAGGCGAAGGGGGAGGCCTACATGGGGTTCACCAAGCTCAACCCAGATCAAAATCCAAATCACGGTAATCATGCCAGGCATAACAAAGCAAGTCGTCTCTAGTATAATTGATCGACAACTTTTCTAATTTTAACTAAAAACACAGATCTATCGATCCACATACAGTACACACATCTGATGCAGGAACACGTAACCCCAACCGATGAGTTTGCATGCGTACTCGTGTCATACATTCTATGTTAACAACAAGCAAGATCATCTCCTTTTCTTAGCTCCTAAATTCAAGCCTCGACATTTTCAAAATGGAACGTTGGCTGTCCAGGGACTGCATGCTCGGCTGCAGGTACTGAAAGCTCCACCTCTTTTCCATCTTCGAGGTTGGTTCCCTTCTTGCTGCCCTCTTCGACTGAGATGATGTGGCAAGCAACCAGGCCGCTAGTTCGCTTCAATCCAGGAACCATCTGCAGGAGAGTCTCCTTTTCGTTAAATGCCAGCTTTTGCTCCAGGACCACGCTCGCTGGCTCGCCGGCCTGAAGTCGTCTCTTGAGGTTCTGCACAAACGGCATAGCCTTCTTCATTTCTCCCATCTTGCCAATCTTGCCATTGAGCTCCTTATCGTTGACTGACTTGGCCTCCACGTTCCACATCTCCTTCAAGAGATCAATGTACTTCGCTTGCCAAGCTGGAAATTTGTCCGTGACAAAGATTGTGAGTTGCTTAGGCTTCTTGGGGTCGAACGATGTCTCCTTGCCCTTGGCCTTCTTCTTCAGTTGCAGACCCTCCGCCGAGTTGACGTTGGAAGCAGTGTTTCGTACATAATCACGCTTCGCCGACAGGGAAGCATCAACCTCCTTGATCTCAGGGAATCGAGCATTATGAATAGTGCCCTCATTCTTCAGCACCTCAAGCCAAATATACTCAGACCAGTGGGGAGCAACGACCGCCAGCAGCAGAGCTTGTACCTCAATATACCGGAGGGCAAGATCGCGGTGCAGTTTTAAGCCGGCTGCTGCGCAGGCTTCTCGATAGAAATCACGAGCGCTCGTCAACTCATATAGACCAGCCTTTAAAGCCAGCTTGTAGTTGGTGTTGACATACTGCTCAACAGCCTCCTTGATAACCGCGTTCATGTCGTTGTTGAACAAGGCATCCTGGAACGAATTCAACTCACCAGTTCGAAGTTGATCCTGGTCCCGAACCATATCCTCGCACCACTCCTTGAGAGTATATAATCGGAGAATGTTGGTATCGGCAACATCCTCCTCGAAATTGGCATCGTTGACTCCATCACCAGCATCCGCAAGAGCAATACGAGAAGCATCCGCACCGTATTTCTCTGTCAAGTCTCGGAGAGTCATGAAGTTACCGGTACTCTTGCTCATCTTCTCGCCATTGAGCATTAGATGACCGTTCGCGCGGATACTTTGAGGCCAGTACTCTTGAGAGAATAGGGCCAAATCTGAGAAGTGTTAGTCAAGGGATACTGAATTTGCCTGAAGAAAAGGGGTAAGGGAATAAGGAAATAGTCAGAAAAATTCGAAAAAAATCCAGGGGAAATCAGGGGAAATCAGGGGAAATCAGGAAAGAGGAAAAAGAAAAGGGACCACAAACGGGAATATAAGAAAAAAGTGAGATGATTGGCGATAAGATCCTGAAGTAACACGTTGATTAGTCTCAGTATAGCTTAGTGAAGACACTCGTCTTTACTCACCTTGCCCGACACTCGCACGTCAAGAGGATAGAAGTACTCGAACTCGCGGCGCATGCTCTCCAGGGTCTTCTTGGGGATCTTGCTATTTGTGAGTATTTCGTCACTGAGCTCCTGGCGGCAAAAGACGTAGTCCCAGACTTCGTCAACCATTTGCTCCGGTCCAACATTGGCACTTCCCTTTGTCTTTCCAAAGATGTCCTTATGTAGAAGGTGTGCGATGGTATAGTAGGCCATGTAAACAGTCGAGTCACTCAGACTCTCTACCAGGAATTGAGGGTCCCAAGGCAGCTTGGAGCCAAGACCGAAGGATCGAGCACAAGCCCACTGGTTCAGCCAGTTCAGAACGCCTTCAAAGCTGTTCTTGGTTTCAGGTGTATAAGTGTTGAGGCCATTCTCAACATAGTCGAGGGCGGTCTTCTTCCATGATTTCTCACCATAGTCCAGATACCACTGATCCATGAGAGCAACGATACATTCATCGGCTGACCGGCTGACCACCTTGCGCTCAGGTTCAGAGTAGGCAAATGCTTGACCAGCATCGATCATCTGCTGTCGGACCTTGGGCTTGGCAACCTCAACCTTCTCGCCCTTGAACTCGCCCACTTTCAGAACACCCTGGTAGAAGCCCTCCTTGTAAGCCAGCTCCTTGGCCTCCTCTAGCTGCTTCGTATCCTTGGGAGAAGCAATCTTGAGCTTCTTGACCAGGAAAGGGGCGCAGAGGTCACCGTAACTAGGTGTCTCGATAATGGGGAAGATCTCAAGCTCGGCCCACTCCTTCTGGATTCCATAATAATCAGCCTTCTTAGCCAGCTCGGTCACAGTAGCAAAGTCATCGGGACTGTCAGAAGGCACAGAAGTGACAACTCCAGTACCCTTTGTAGGGAGAACGGTCTCCATAGGCAAGACGCGGACTCCCTCCTTGTGCAGTGAGAGAGGAGCATCAACCAGAGTGCCAACCATATCGGAGCCAATGATCTCAGCAACCTTCTCAATGACGCCCTCCTTAGCAAAGATACCCTGGTACGCCATGTTTTTTGCTGCCCGCTCCGTCATACAGTAGTAGTCGCTCTCGTTAACTTTGAAGATTCCGTAGATAATCTTAGGGCCAATAAAACAGCAAGTTTGGCCATACATAGTCTCAGGTCTCAGAGTGGCCGCGATTTGGTAAACATTGACACCATCCGGAAGCTTACCCTTCAGGGTCTCAGCAGCTTTGGGGGCCCATTCGAGAACCTTGATCTTCAGGGCAGTGTATTCCTGAGGGCCAACACCCTCACCTTCAGCTCGGTCGTGGTCCATGCAGGGCTGACCATCCTTGATAGAGTAGATGGTGTATCGCTTGCCGAATTTGATCTTGTTCAGCGCCTTGAGGCTGTTCATCTGCCATCGAACGAAAGCGTCGTAGTAAGGGTTAGCATCGGTGGTGACAAACGATCGACGCCAGTCGATACGGCAACCAAAATTGGTCAGGTCTTCCTTGCACAGGGGAGGGAAGTGTTGAAGCCAATGTTGAGGGTCAGCGAACTTGTGGATTTCCTCAGTAGGAATTCCGATAGCTTGCATGATCTGGAACTGGTACCTGCGAGGCGTATTAGTAAGTTGGAAAATTTCGAGGACAGAAGCTCCATTTACTTCATCTTGACAGATTTCGCCGCAGCTTTGCCCTTCGTAGCCTTGAACTTGGTGATATCCTCCTTGGTCTGCTTGGCAACGGGGGCCTTCTCTTCGACAGCAGGCTCATCATCCTTGTAGCCCGAAAAGTCCTGGCCAAACATCTTGATCTCGTCGACGAGCTTGTCAGCACAAGCCTTGATGGGCATACCAGTGCAGTGGAAGCCCATGGGGAAGAGGGCTCGCTTTCCCTGCATGCGTGCAACACCAGCGGCGAATTCGACCTTGCTGACGGAGAAAGAGTGACCAGCGTGAAGAGTTCCGTTCATGTAAGGGTAGGCCATGCATCCAAAAAACTTGGGCTGCTGCTCCCGGAGTTCGACGGCGGGAATGGAGTGGAGGGGTACCTCATCGGTGGTGGGAGCATTAGCTTCGAAAACTTTCTCGTCTTGCCATTTCTGTTGATATTTCTTCTCAAGTGCGATCAGAGTGTCTCGCTTCTCAGTCTGCTCATAGTCAGAGTGGTCACTTTATAACGGTGGAGGAAGTTGGACCTGCACCTTTGAGCTCCTTGGTCTTGGAGATGTTGAGAGCCTCCATGGCCTTGGGAACGGAATCAGTAGAAGCCATGGTCGCAAATGGACGAGACCTGTGAAGAAGGAGAAAGTATTGTCAGTTTTCTTCCTCCAACAGTATGTTGATATATGAAGGTTGAGTGAGTAATACGCACTTCGAAATTCCGTGGAAATTTTTGAGTCACTGTTTGCAAGGGATTGAATCGGACTTGAGAAGGAGGGGTGAAAATCGCGGGGCACTCATAGTGCGTCAAAGTGGCTAGTGAGTGGGGCAGTTTGTGTGGCGGTGATGTGGCGCTTATTGGAGATTCTCCAACGCCAACGACATCCATCATGCGAAGCTTCATGTCTTGAACCATTGAGTCACTCGAGGTCCAAAACGACTTAATCACAATGTTCCCCACATTAATCAGGCGCATGGCCTCATCTTCAAAGGATAGTCTTCTTAAGAAGGCTCCTTTAACGGTGGCAACTAATCCTTACAAGGCCCGAAAAGTGTGGCCTCCCAACTTCAAGCAGCTTACTGTCCAGCAACAACTCCGGTTTGAGAAGAAGTACAAACGTCGCATCATACTAGCAAGTCGAGCACCGCGATGGGTGAAATTTGTCAAGACTGCTCAGCTCTTGACAATTGTAGGTGAGATTATCCTCATGCAATCATTTCTGGGCTATTGTCTAACTCGAGTTCTAGCTGCACTGATCTGGATCTGCTTCTACTCCGAGTTCGAATGGTGGGGTCAGAAGTATAAGCCTTCTGAAGAGGTTCGTATATGTGATCGTAGAAGAACTAAGCACTGCTAACGCGATCATCAGATTCGAAAAAAGACACAATATCTCTTTGGCACAGTCGATCCCGAGAAGCGATACGAACGACGACCAGATGCGCCGCCCTTCCATCCCCCAAAGGACGAGCCAGAATCAAAATAGTGTATTCTATATGTATATTATTCAATACTTGGAGTTCGGCGTTAGTCTCGTAGAGACAAAACATATATGGATATCTCAACAGGCAGACACATCGTGTAATCCGCTCTATCATGCATTTCGTTCTTCCCTCTGAATAGTCGTAATTTTCATCGCCCAGTCCAAGCAAAGTTGGCACCCATGCCAAGCCCACTTCCCAGGCCAGTAGGTCCTCTGCCTTCGTTAACAGGTCTCTTCGCGACCGTTCCTTGCGCCTTTACCCCTGAGACAATGCGATCCAGGTTTGTCTCTATTACCACGCCCCCTATTATCATTTCCGACAAGGTAGAATGCAGGGTTTCGAAATTGAAGATCAAGTCCAGCTCGCAGACATTCTCGAAGAGCTTGTCAAGGGCCTCCACGTAGACTTGAATCAGATCAATAAGGGCAAGCGGCGATTCGGTCGATGTAGAGATGACGATGAAATAAAGGGTCGCATAGTTGCGATATGTTACTAGTGTTGGAACATCGTTCTGTTCTTCCGAGGAGGTGTGGGAGGTGCCCGAAGCGGCGAGCAGAGGTGGAAGGGGTAAGAAGTTGCAGGATCCAGCCGGTCGATTCGAGACGAGGGTAAATATTTCGGAGATGAGGCGCTGTTGTATACTCGTTTCCTATGAGGCGCATCTGAGTTTCTGGCGACAAGGCTGGAGGGGATAAAGCATACCAATTGGGTATAGAACTTGGTCAAACGTGGCTGACCTTGGCCGTTGAAGACCAGAAAGGCATTGATCATGATTAAGGACAGGGGCTCTTCATGCCCTCACACAAACCAATGTAGATGACCTAGTGAAGTAGGTAAGGTTTGAGTTCGTATGGTATTGTAGGTTGAAGTGGTTAATGGTGGGGCATGTGTCTGCAATGAAGACGCGGAGCTGATGACGGGATGCGGGAGCTGCAATCCCGGTACGTACCTCCACTGACGAAATTCATGGTGCAATTGGTCAGTCACACCTGGCAGCTGCACTTATCCAGACCGCGGGGGAGCTTGGTTACTTCAATTCGTTCATCTTCTGAATAACAGCGATTGACCGAGCACGTCACTGCGAATGCCATTCTGATTCTCATTTACGGGCCCTTTCTAACCATTTAATATCATAATCAGCACGCAATTTCTGGAAGTTGATCTTCGAACAAACAAAATGTCCCGACAAATCGCATTTCAAGCTTCCCGCTTGGCTTCGCGAGCGATCCGCTCTTCAACACCCGTCTGCCGCTCAAGCTTCCGTATTGCTCCTGTAATCCCACACCTTTCTGTCCGATCGACACTTTCGCAAAAATGCTTCTCGACTACTGTTTCCAGCAAGCGGGGTATCATGCCTGATACTGAGAATCCTGCCAAGCCTTTGAACGCAACCGAAGAGATCCATCAGAATGCTGTTGTGGCCGATATTACTGAGCAAGAGTACCATGACCTTGCGGACGAGTACCTCGATAATGTTGTCGGCAAGTTTGAGGAACTCCAGGATCAGCGAGAAGACATTGACGTCGACTTCTCAGTACGTATAACTTATGCGATTATCATCCAAGCCCATTAGCTAATGCATTTATCTACAGGCTGGAGTCCTCAGCATCAGCTGGCCTGACAAGGGCACGTACATCATCAACAAACAGCCCCCCAATAAGCAGATCTGGTTGTCATCCCCCATCTCTGGCCCTAAGCGCTACGACTGGTGCCTCTTCGGCGAGGGCCAGAACGAGAAAGAGGGCACAGCCGTGGGTGACTGGATCTACGTTCGTGATGGATCCAGCCTAAACCAGGTTTTCTCTGAGGAGCTTGGTGTCGACATTGACGTTCCGAGCGAGGAGTAGAGCTTCCTCCCGAATGCCGATAAAAGACCCAGCAAGCATGATTGAAGGAGAAGACTATCACCGACAAAGGAAAAGCATTTATGAAGGCGTTGAGGGCTTCGGTTAGCCTAGTGAGGGTTGCGATTTATGTTCGATGTATTGTACATGTACTATTTAAGGTCCCTTCGTTCGGGGAATTGGGAATTCCCAAGTGAGAACGTATGCAAATAATTTGCCGGTTATTCCGTCCAAGATCTGCCATCATCCATGCGACTACTTTTGCCCCGTGTATATAGTACAGTTGATGTACAGGTCCCTTCCATCTTCCCGGTGAAGAGCTGCTAAGGGAGCTTCGACAATATTTCAGGCCTTTGATGGCAAAATAGGAATCAGTGTGTCTCTTCCTTCTTGGTCTTAGAACTTGATCTCCGTGCGTCTGTATTCCAAGTCCTTCAACTACCGCAGTTTTCCGAGGCAAGTCCTGGGCGTAGTGGATTGCTCTTCCTCTCATTAACTTGAGGGAGCCTCGAGTGATTTCAACGGAGACAAATGCCCATAGTTTTATTAAGCATAGCGACCGTCATATCATAATGATTATACGCAGTCGCATTCGCTTCTTTCATCTCACGTCTAGGCGTAACATAAGCACTGCTCACTCAGGAAAATTGATTCAGACTCACTCTGCATGTTTCAACGGATCATAAGCCGAGTAATCCTTTTTTCGGAATCTCATCTGCCGAACTCGCAATAAGTTCTTCAAGATCTTATGCTCCAACCCCTTCTCTTTCGCTGCCGCCTGGAGAAACCAAATGGTTCGCTTGATGCCCCGTCCATCATATGTGGCACCTGGCTCACGAAAGGCCCTCCGGAGTTGATCGCGAGCTACGAAGCGAGCGGGAATTGTGTATTGCACTGCCTTGAGAAGATTTCGATATAGATGTCGGTACGCATGTCTTATCTCAGTCGGGGTAGCCATGCTTGCAGAATTTGGATAGAAAGTTTGAATGTCATTGGTGTTCCAGTTACGATGAGTGAGAAGTTGTAATGGACCCACTTTAGCTATCATGGACAATTCGGTTTCATGACAACAACCTGTAAGAGCAAATACCTATGGTAGGTACCTAACGTAGACAAAGGATGCGACAACACTTTCTTCAACACGGCTACTTCTTCATATGTATCAAGCCGCTTCTCTCATTATTTATGGTATACAGGCCATTATCAGCCGTCTAACTCCATGAAAATTCGGTCTAAATATATCGATCCATAGATCTTTAAAGTAAATGCAGCGATCCTCATCCAAAAACACGCACATCAACTTCGTTTCGTAAGTCTCCTTTAGACCCTGGCGCATTTAATTGATTCTTTCCCATCAAGTGACTCCGGTATCCTTCAAGGCGATCGTTGTGCTATCTTATCCTGGCGGTAACGCATCCTGCGCCTTGTGCGCCATCTATATGCAGGTATTCTTATAGACCAACTCTAAAACACTTCATCAATAGTCATCACGTCGGCCTTCTCGGCCTTCTTCTTGTTGGCCAAGAGGAGCATAGCGACCTTGCGCGCTGCTGCCACTATCGGACCTGTTTCGTCCGACCACTCTTGATAGCCAGCCACCAATACTTCGTTCATCGCCACCGGTCTGCATCTGGGACTTGATGTCATCGTCGATCGCGGGGGGGTCGAGAGAAAGCCCGGGGATAGCAGATGAGGGTCCAATAAGCCCTCGAGAGGATCCTACAGGAGATCCGGCCCTCATCAAAGAACCGGTTTCAGTGCCGTGTAGCGAAGGAGTACCAGCGACGGTACTGGCGTCTCCAAAGAGCGAGTCCATGTCCTCCAGGCGCACACCACAGGTCTCTGGGTAAATAAAGTATACTTATAATATGTCAGCAATGCGATCGTATCAGCATAGACATGACAAGAGAACTTACCAATGACAACACTGGCCACACAGAAGAACGCATGAACCAGATACATGCGCCACTTGATCCATTCCTGGAGAATAGGCGTCATCTCACCCACAAGCCAGTTAGCCGCCCAGTTGGTTGCTGTTGACAGACTGGCACCTTTTGATCGAATGCTGAGAGGGAGAATCTCGGGAGGATAGAGCCAGGGAATAGGTCCCCATGAGTAACCAAAAGCGGCATTGTAGATCATGACGAACAAAACAACTAATCGAGGAGTCCACTTGATGTCGAGGAAGAGGAAGTAAGAGATGAGCGATAGTGAGATAGCCATGGCCGTGGCACCAGAAAGAAGGATCTTGCGTCGGCCCCAACGATCCACCAGGTACCACGGAGGAATTGTTGACATGAGATATGTGAGACTGTTGAAACCAGTCATGAGGACAGCGTCATGACCAACCCAACCAGCAGACTCAAAAACGTACGGTGCGTAGTACGAGATGACATTGATGCCATTAAGCTGGGCGAGCGCTTGGGCGGACATGGCGATAAAAACTCGGGTCTTGTATCGACGGAACATGTCCTTGTATGTTCGCTCGCCTTCCTGGCGTTGAAGAAGGACGTTCATCTTGATTTCGCGATATTCATCTCGAGCCTTGGGATCATGAATGTCGCCACCGCCGTACAGGTTAGCAATGACCACCATACCTTCCTCATCATGGTCGTTGTCCAAAAGCCATCTGTAAAAATTAGCAAGCTACTTCAACACACACCTAATATGATTGACTAACCGAGGCGATTCAACAATGACCAGACTGCCGAGTCCAAGGAGAGCACCCATGAAACATTGCAGTCCAAGGGGGATGCGCCAAGAATAGTCACTCTCAATGAAGCCGCAGCCATAATCAACCCAGACAGATGTTGAGTAACCGACGATATTTCCTGTGAACTCAATACATGCCAGTTTTCCTCGGTTGTGAGGGGGCGAGATCTCAGACTGATAAACAGGCACAATGGTCGAGAGCATACCAACTCCGAAACCGGCAACGAAACGTCCAGCCATCATCATGGGCATAGAAGTAGCCAGAGTCTGGAGAGCACCTCCAACGAAGAAGATGCAAGACCCGTAGAAGATGGTGCGTCGTCGACCGATGATGTCGCCAATGCGACCGACCATTAGGGAAGTGATGAATGCACCAATCTCTAAGATAGCAACCATAGTACCAACGTATGCTTTGGAAGGGTGATCAAAGTAATCCATAAAGTATGGTCCACTAGTAATCGATTAGTTAAACCAAAAAGAGTTCAGCGGGCATTGGAACTTACGTGATAATTCCTGACATGACACCCTGATCATATCCAAAAAGGAAAACACCGAGTGATACGAAGATACTGGTGAAGTAGCTGGTAGAGGTCAGTCTATGACATTGCAAGTGACGAGAGTACATGATCTTACATCAGGGCCTTGCCTGTTAGGCCATGGATTGAACCTGTACGTCCAGCCATGATGGCGCCGAGTACACGTTCAGCGCGGGAGGGACCTGGGGGGTTGAAGTTAGGAACCTCGATAGCCTCCTTGTTGATAAGGGCAGATCGCGACTGAGAATGACGGTGGTGATGTGAGTCCTGGATGCGAACCCTCTTCTGGTTGCCGTGCTTGGGATGTCGGCGATGAACGTTGGCCAGAAGTTCGTCCTCAACGTCTGAAGAGAGCTGTAGACGAACAGGGTCGTGCTCGTCGGCCAGCTGCTCGCCAATATCACCGGTATCGGTCCACGACGATTCGGAGCCAGACTGAGACGAGCGGCGATGAGACTTGGCTACGTCGGGGTGGTGTTGGCGGTTATCGTCGCTATCGTCGTCGTAGTCACGATCGTGGTCGTTGCGGGACGCGAGCAATGACGTCGCTTGTGAATCCGGGTCTTGGTGTTGTTGATTATCAGGACGAAGGGTCCGTAGAGGAATGTTTGAGGGAAGACGTGAAGACTTTGAGGGAGGAATTTTGGGAAGATGGGGCTGTTAAGCAGCAGCGCCCGTCTGCAGAGAGATTGAAGGTAAAAGGTACGGAAAGAGAAGGGGAAAGGCCGAGAGACAACGAGGTCATCGGCACCTCGAACGGCCCAGCGATAGACGGAGGGGAATGGGAAAGATGGGGTCGGGTGACCGGGGTGTGGACGGTACGGAATCAGGGTCTATCGGCGTCTATGGTAGGATTCGATCGGTAAAAAAAAGTTGACTGGTAAACACAGCAAAAGATAGTGATACCTGACTGAGGCGCGGGTTCAATTGGGCTGTGAGGTGGGTTCCTAGTCAGTTGAGATACGCTGTATCAGGCCTTGTTCTTCTGGGTTTGTTGGGACCCCTGGTTGGTGGTAACTCAAACTGCGTCACTCGGCAGCGTAGATTTGGGGATCAGGTACTTTGGAGTGACTTTGGACAAATTGCGTGTGCGTGAGCTTGCGATGCGGTACAGGCGGAATGGGCGGTAATAATCGACAAGCAAAGCGCTGTGATGGGCCCTTTGGCTGAATTGATGAACGATCTTCAGAAACAGAACGAACTAGACAAGACCAAACTGCCGAGGATGGAGTCGCAGCTGGGGAGAAGCTGGAGTGCAGCACGCGGAGGTAAGCTGTAGCTGGCTGGGGTTGGTGCAGTGGACGATAGGCAGATGACCACGATTGAGACTGGATAGGAGCTCAAGCGGACAGTTGCTGCACCAAGTGACAAATCTCAATAATGGTCAGGCGAGACAGCAGCAGGGGCAGCGATCACGAAAATGTGCAAGCGATACGTAGGGGGGAAAATGATCGACTTAAGGGTGAGGAAAACGGCGCAAAAGAGGTGAATTGATGATAATGGATGAAGGTTGGTAAAGAAGGGGGAATGAAGATGAAGAAAAATGCTGTTCAAGATGAAGGAAGGGCAGCAACTTGAGGGACAGGACAAGTCGACGACTAAAACTCGATCGAGAGCAAGCAAGGGGACGGCTGCTGGAAAATAGTATGTACGGGAGTTTGCCGTTCAGGGGAGGCTTTCAGGAGGTCAAAGTCGCGTTTGCCTGGCCTGGGCTGTCAGATTAAGATGGAGGATCTCTGGGTAATTACTGCATTGCATCCAATTGTTGCACTGTACTGCCTGGGCTGTCTGTATCTGATCTCCATACTCGCTACTTTATCTCAAGTACGGTAGCGATTCCACTTTACCCAATCTCTAATCTTGCTTGATTGCATGATCATCAGTCAGTTCGCTCTATCCAGTTTCAATTTCTACCGTTTTCTCAGGGGTAATAATGGCTCATCTCTGCCAGCCTTAAACTCTGGATTTCAACGGTCTTACAGTACTTTCACATCCATGCAGTTTGTGAACTCGATAAGAATGTCTCTAGCAGACTCCACGTTCACAAGCGGGCACTTCTCCACGCGTTCTACTATAGACGCTCGGGGCAAGCTTGCCGTCCGTCGTAGGTCATTTCGAACTATCGTGAAGTGTGGGGTGTGTGGACGCGTTATAGAGCCAAGACAGCCATATAGTGGGGGTTCACAGGCAGCTTCGTCAATAGAAACCACTATTTCTGTCAATTAATGGGGAGCAAAAGAAGGATGCCACTCTGAAAAGATCTCTCTTCAGCTGAGACAAGTCAGATGAAGCGCTGCTAGATCTGACTCGTAATCACAGTCAAGGCTGTGCAAGCATAGCCAGTCACATGCCCTGTTACCCATTCAGTTGGAACTCGAGTGTGACTATGAGTGCAACTGGAACCTGGAAATATGCAGGTTCCAGTAATTCCCTCCTGACAGGACATGCAGTTCATGCGCTTTATTTTTCCTCATTTGCAACTTGAGATGTTTTGGTGGAAGGTGAGCCATTGGCTTCCCGCTCGTCTTTTGCCATGAGACTTCGGGGCTGCTCACGATACAACGTTTGTAACCCCAGATCAACGCAATCCTGACCAAGATCCAATATTAAAAGCAGCCGGTTCAAATCGTTGGTGTTTCCCCGCGAATTCAATGTTCACGAGGATATTCTCTCCACAAACTAAGTAACCCCCAGACTTTTATGGCAGATATAAGAACCGATGTACTCTTCAAGTACTTGGTCCTCCACCCCCAGGATACGCTACCGCAAAGAGGGAATACTGAAATCTCAATCTTCTTCGAGTTCCACTCACACAACCAGTAATCCAGGGTAAATTCAGGTTCGCAGTGATTTGGTCTTCCGCCTATCGTCTTCTTGAGATATTGATGTTGGCGGGCCCGCTTGACTCGTGGTGGATCCAAACTACGTCACTGGATCTCCAGTATTGACTCCTGTGGGACTGGACAGGATCCATTATCGATTTGTCAAATGCGAGATGTTCACCTTTGCAGATTTCGCAATGGTTGTTGACTTGATAGATTGTAGCCCAATTACTTATTTCCGAAAGCAATACGGACCTTTGCTTTGAATGAGCAATGCGTATCGGGAAGTTTATGCGTCGAAGCTCAACGATGGGCCGTGCTATCATAGCCACTAGGATGTAGCAAGGTTGAAAGATTAAAACATGACGATCTAATGTTGACCGACCCGTTGAAAACAAGCTGTCAAACTGTCGAATTACATTGGCCCCCTTGTTCCACTAACCGCGTGATTTTATGTCAGGGTCCAGCCTCTTGTCAGACGAGACCTTGATTCGTAGTAATCGTGCATCGTGTAATGTATATGCGTACGCACTGGTCAAAAAAACATGCAAAAAGAAGACTTAGGAACTGAATCTGGCTGTTACTGACTCTGTCTTTCTTCATATGCTTGGTTCTATCTTCTCTGATGAGTGATATCTCTTGCTTTACTATTAAGAGCATGATGGAAGAGATATTGTGGAGTTGCCATGGGTAAATCACAGGCTTCGGACTATCTCTTTGAGCGGCATAAGACTGCCACGGGGTCACGACCAGGGTAGGGAGCCAATCAAAATGACCGTAACAGCCAGTACCTCTACCTACACCTAAAATGGCATATAATATAAGTACTAACAGTCAGCATTATTATAAATAGCTATATTATATACTTTGCAGCCGTACCTAGTCTGTAACCGCTGCTGATTTCCTGATATTGGCTATAGATAGCCTCCTTTTCTTCGCTTTTTTGGCCGAGGCTGCCCCTGCCGGAGGCCTTTGTAAGCCAAGTAAGGAGAGGAGCTTTTTCTACCTCTATAGATATGATTGATATCTCTTTATAGGTAAATTTGCCGTGCTTCAAGATCCTTACTGTCTTTTTCCTTCCCTATATAGTATCTCTTCCTTATGCCGCTATTGGTGCTATACTTATTAAAAATGGCATTATAAATAGCCTCTTTCTAGTCTTGAAGTATGCTATAAGGCTTCTAATAAGGGTATTAGGTCTTCTTCTATAAAATAAAGCTATTTGCAAATATAATATTAAGGAGGAAAGACTAAAGTAATACCTGCTAAAGATTATGCCAGAAATAATACTAATATAATAAATAGGATCTTATCTAATTACTGCAATTTATATAATTTATTTTATTATTATACTAAGCGGCAATAGAAGGAATAGGGATTATCCTAGCCTAATCTCTATTAAAGACCTCCTTTAGGCGCTATGCCTCTGCCTTTATGCCTCTTTTAGCAGGCAATTTCCTCTCTTTTAGTATGTAGTTAAGAGGGGCTGTGCTATATATAGTTAAAAGGAAAAGCATTATAGAGCTATCTTTTTAAGTAATTTAAAGGACTTAAAGGGAAGGAAAAGAGATAGGTTAATAAGGGAAATATAGCTAAAAGTTATTTATACCTATTTATCCTTTATTAGGATTAAATATACCTTATTAAATAATAATAGCTTACTATTAAGAAGCTTCTTAGTCTTTTTTATCTACTTTATCTCGATAGTAATGCTGCAATTAGGGCATGCCGTGCCTATAGCCCTATATTTAAGCTACTAAAGTAGGTAGAAGAGCTATAGTAATAAGAAGAGGTTATTTATAAAGATATAATATGTCTATATTAATAGCCTTTTTAGTAGGTAAACTATAACGCTTTATATATTACTAAGAGGGATCTCGGTTTATAGCTTCCCCTTCTTGCCATATAGCATTAGTATATCTTCTACCTTAACTGTTATAGCTATAATTAGTAATGCCTTTATATGCTAAAGTTATTATAGAAAGTAGCCTTATTGCGCAATAACCTAGATTTTAAAGCCTACTAGTATAGGCTTTCCCTTAATAAGCATTATCTCTTTTAATCTGCCTATAAAAGGGACTATATACTTATCTATAGTTAGATTAGTCCCTAGATAATAGAGCTTAATAAATACCCTTTATATATATTTAGACTACTCTTTAGCTACTTAAAAGGTCTTTAAAAGATCCTTCTTATTACTTATATTAAGATTAGTATAATTAAAAGTATAAAAATACTATATAATTAGCTTAAACTTCTATAATAGCATAAACTTTATAAATAAATAAAGGGGGCGCTAATCTCTTAGGTTAGGGGCCTTTTAATAGTCTATAAGAAATATTTCCCTATAAATTCCTAGGTAAATAAGAATACTAAGCTATATATAAGCTATTAAAGTAGAGATGCCTTCTTAAGTATATAAGCATAAGTAGTTAGAAAGGGGGGTATTCTAGCTATCTTTAATGCTATTATTAGCGCAGAAAGAAGCCTAGTCTTTAATATATTTAACCTATAACTATATAAGGGAAATAGGTATAAAAAGCTAAAATAATTTAAGTAGTAGCTAGGGTAGAGGGTTAATTTAAAAATCACGATATTTTATATTAAAAGGTTAAAAATCATTACTATAGCCCTCTTTAGGCAGAATATTAGTTGCGCTAGTAAGGTTATTAATAGCTACTATAAAAGGCAGGCTATTAAAGCTATAATTATCTAATATATATATCTCTTAGGAGCTTATTATTTTAATCAAGACTTATTAAGGTCAATTTATATAAGGGTTTTAATGATTTTGGTAGTATTAAAAGAAGAAGCTGTCTGACGGGAACTTTATATACCCTGCAGGTACCTGCAAAAAAGCGGGGTAAGTGACCTGTGGCAGTCTTATGCCGCTTAAAGAGATAAGCATAAGCTGTGAATTGCGGAAATACATGGAATTCCTCATAAACGAAACCGGCAAAGCTTAAATTACCTACAACAAATATTATATGTGTAATTCTCACTACTGCGAACTTCATTTCAGATCTTTTGGTTGGGCACAAGTAGGATCAGTAACAAAAGCAAGGATGTAGTAAGTAAGGTAGCCCTGTGAACTGTGAGAACGGTCTGAAAACGGTTCATGATGAATTTGTGTAATTTATTCCTGCTCAAGCTCGAAAAGCCCAGTATGACCTTTTGTGTGATTGGTGCCGGGCTGTTCATAGGCACACTTATACAAGTCTAGCAGGCTAATGGATACGAAACCTGTGGAAAATATGAACATGCAGTTGGGACGGAGTAGTCATATGCCAATTTGGGTAGCTATCCATTACCAACTTAATCATCGTTTCAATTCGACCGGTTTGAGCATACTTGAGCCTTTACTTGATCCGAAGATGCTGCGCTACTGTTTTTGTCAAGTCCTTAAAGTGCTTTCTTTTGTACGATATCTAGATACGTTTATTATCGAGGAACTCGTTTGACGAAGACCTTGCTCGCATTGAATCATAACCTTCGGAAGTCGGCAAGACATCTTAGCTTAAGAATACTGTTAATTTGATAGACTTCTTATGTATTTACTTGCAGTCGTGGCTCGGACGCTCAAAGCTGTTCGTCACTGAATTATACTAGTCAGCCAGTATTCTGGTTCGACAGGTCGATGATGTCTAATAGTCCGTGGCATCAAGCCCGTATACAAGAAGCTGGTTTACTCTACTGCTCAAGTGTTTTCTGTTACTGACGTTTGTGTAAAAGAAACAATTGTTCTAGTCGGGCTCTCTGCTGCCTGCAGATGGGTCGCGGTGTGCTTGGACCTCTGAAAAGAAACCATTTCGACAGGAATAGGAAGCCTGATCTCATTTACGTGATGACACCTAATGCTACATAATACTTTCCCAAGTTTTCTCTCGTTTGTTTCCTGTTCATTATGTGTTTGTGGTAGTAATCGTCATCATCTGTTCCATTAATAGGGGTGCTCTGTAACTACGAACTTCCGCCGGCCTCATGGTAAATATAACTAAGAGTTAAGGTTAGGCAGCCCGAGGTCCCTTTTAGTACGCATATTCGTGTTTCCTATCTTCAACCTTCAGCTTGTATGTCATTGTGTCCCCTTGGGTAGCATACGTTCAGCTGAGAATCCCAACTTGAGATTACTTAACATCTTGTATCCATATACACATAGCCACAGACTCTGCCACAGCTCGTGTAGAATAGCGGCAAGTGCCAATTTTCAAGGGGCACATAGGGCTTAGGCAGTGATTCTGGTTGGCTTTTCGTAGTCATAGCTCAAGCAACGTACATCCATGACCCTCTT